TTAGTTGCTGAAGCTCAACGCTTCTCGCATATATTCTTTTGTTAGGCTTTTTTTAAATTTTGCGCTCTTTTGATTGCAATATTACGCTCACTTCACTCATTCTTCCTTTCACTCCCAGTGCTGAAAAATTCAACTTTTCTCCTTGGAGGTCCGCAAACCTGCCCACAGCCCCATGTCATTATAGTGCAACATCTCCCATTTCCAACTTATATATACACATATATGCAAGTGTGTGAGTGTGTGTGTATGTGTGTATGTGTGTGTATGTGTGTATGCATAGGAATCGCAGCACGATTGCCTTGCAAATTTGTAGCAGCAAATAAATTTTTTAGAGAAGCAATTCTGAAAACGGCGAAAGCACTGGTAGAGGATACGAAAGCGCTTGTGGCTGGCGCGGCTTCGAATCAGGAGCAACTTGCAGTGGCCGCTCAAAATGCCGTTCGCACCATTGTTAATTTGTCGGATGCGGTGAAAAATGGCGCTGTTTCGTTATCGTCGGACAATGCCGAGGCACAAGTCATGGTCATCCATGCAGGTTCTGCATATTTGTGTAACTGTACTTGTAGAAATACTGTGAGAAGAATTAAAGTGCACCGACTGTTCGTATTTTGGCTTTGTTGATAACCAGTGAATTTTCTGGATCTGTTAATCTGATTATCGCATGATTGTGACATGAAAGTAATATGAAGAACGCGGAAAAGAAGGCAAAAATAGAACGAACTATGTAATGCAAGAGGTAGAAATATTGCTGGTGCAGAAAAGATAAGTACGAGAGAGTTAAGACGTTTCGGCCCATGAAGTCATATATGTCTTAGCTCAACACCGCAACTGGACCTCGTAATGTTATTTTGGAGAGGGAAGTAATTGGCTGCTCAAGAGTATGTTAAGGGGTGAAATTTCTCATTGACGTTCAGAATATCGAACTTAGTGATGTCGTAGTGGCAGCGAAGGCATGACATGACAGAAGAGTTATCGCTTATGTCATTACGGAACTTCAGTGGGTAACAGTGTAAATTGGGTCGTTTAGAGCTGCAAGCTAATTGTTAACTGAGGGATCTGAATAACTCTAACTTTGATGCTGATAAACAGCGAAATAGTGTGGTGCGTCATTTAAACAAATCAATGAAATTGGCTGGAAAATTTGCAGTGCGTGATGTGGCAGCCGCTCTTTCGAATCTAATCCAAGCAACGAAGAATGCATCCGGTCGCTCACTGCACGATCCGGCAATGGGACATCTCAAGGAAGCAGCCAAGGTGAGGCCGGTTATCACTGCTAAGATTTCCTTCTGCTCTTTGGGACGAATTGATAGGAAATCTGGCATAGCTGTATAGTTTCCACTGAGATGTTCGTAATGATAATTTGTAATTCAGCTGTCTTTTTTCGCTAAGAATTTCCCTTCGAACTTACGTTTCAAGACCTGCTTAAATTCGTGAAGAGTCACAGCTAGTCTGGGAAATTCCAGGCTTTTTTTCTATACCTCTCTTTTGTTTGCGCAGTGTTGCTTCGGTTGAGGACGACGGTTTTGTGGAATCCCGCTAATCTATGATCCGAAATTAGAGTGTGAAGAGTCAGCTAATTTACTAAGTCTACTGATTATTCGTTTCGCTGGGAGATCCTTTATCTCGTAATATATCAGACTGTTTTAAGGCTTCTGTCTGAGCCACGTTCAGACTGAATCGTCATTATCCAACCTAGTATTCTGCAGCATTAGAGTGTTATTCCGAGGTTTCCTCTCTCCCCACCGAGCAGCACACTGGCTGTCTGAGAAGGCAGAACTGGTGTTCCGGCGCTTTTGTACGGAATAAAAGTTT